GGAGGGGGGCGCCCAGCTGCCGGGCACCCTGGCGAGGCGAGCGCGCGCGCCTGCCGTTGCCCGACGGGCCGGTGGCTTGGGCAGCGTTCGCCCAGCGCGTCTGCCCGCGGCTGGTCCCAGCGCAGGGAGAACCTGCCCTTGTCTTGATGTTTTCGCAGGCAGAGTGGCTGCAGGCACGTGCTTCCTGGCACCTCAGTTTCCCGAGCGGGGTGCCTCGGCCCTTTCTGCCTCGCAGCCCCTCTTTCTGGGGCCCTGCGCAGTGGCAAAGGCCCGCCCTTGCTAACACCTGAGCCCAGAGGTGGTGGTGACCCCCTGCCCGGGTTCTCAGGGCAGGGCTGACTCCTCTGCCAATGTCAGCTGAGCAGGCTGGCTCTGGGGTCGCTATGGAGGGGCCCAGCAGGCTGATAGTTACTGAGTCTTTCTCACCCTCCGCTTCCTGAGTCTGGGGCCACTCCCTCAGGGCAGACTCAGACCCTCCAAACACGGCTACCAGAGGGGTCTTCTGGGGCCAGGGACTCCTGAGGCGAGGAACAGCACAGGCTGAAGGATGAGGCCTTTGTGTGGTTCTGTCTCGGCAGCTCCCAGGGCAAGGTCCTGGACAGTCACTCATGGGCCTCTGGGGAAATGAAATGTGGCACAGGCACCTGGCCATTCCCTGAATCAAGGCTGGAAAACTGCTAAGCCAGAGTGATACACACCCCAGCTATGACCTCTGCCACCTTCAACACCAGCATCACCCCATCCCCACCATGACCCTGCCATCAACGCCACCATCAACCTCACCATCAGTACCACTAACCCCACCATGAAAACCACTATCAGCCTCACCATTAGCACCACCACCTCTACCATCAACCCCACCGTCACCGCCACCTCCATCAACCCCACCATTAACCTCACCATCAACCCCACCATCACCACCACCTCCATCAGTCTCACCATTAACCTCACCATCACCCCCACCATCACCACCACCTCCATCAGTCCCATCATTAACCTCACCATCAACCCCACCATCACCACCACCTCCATCAACCCCACCATTAACCTCACCATCAACCCCACCATCACCACCACCTCCATCAATCCCACCATTAACTTCACCATCAACACCACCATCTGCCATCAACCCCACCATCACCACCACCTCCATCAATCCCACCATTAACTTCACCATCGACACCACCATCTGCCATCAACTCCACCATTAGCACCACCACTTCTGCTGTCAGTCCTGCTATTATCAACACCCCACCTTCAACCCTGCCATCAGCACTATCATCTTCATCATCATCTACTGTTAGCACCACTACTACCATCAAACTTGCCATTGGTATCACCTCCACCATCAGCATCAACTCCACCATCTTCACCACCACCTCCACCACCATCATCTTCCTTTCCCCACCACTGTTCACAGCCTCCACCATCCCCAGTGCCCCTCCACGACCACAACCACTAGCATCACTCACTCCCCTCCACCCCCTCAGCCCACACCACAGCCTGGCAGCTGCATTTCCCCCATGCCTGTTCAGGAAGGTCTCCCCACCTAGGTGGCAGCGATTGGTGATGTGATGGTGGTAGGAGGAGGGGACGGTAATTCTCTCTGTACATGCTGCCCTGCCAAAAGTCCTCTGGACCAGGACTTGGACAGAGGGGTAGGCCTGACTTCTGGAAGTGTGGGGCAGGTGGGGCAGAGCTCTGTTTGGGGTCTGTCTGAGTCAGAGAAGGCAAGTACATCGTGGGCATGGGAAAACTCACGTTAGCACCATCTTAATAGAATAGTCTGTCAAAATGTTCCTAAGCATTTGGGCCAGGCTCAACTTTCCCACCCCAAGTCACGGTGAAAATATTATTAAAACGGCTGACCCTCTTAACAGCCTCACCAAAAACATGTGCCCTTGCCAAAACAACTGGGCGAAATGGCCCTAAAGTGGAGAGATCTGCTAGCAAAACACATGGTTTCATCAGAAACGAACATTCTGGCTGCTAACAAAACACATATCTCCATAAGAGTTTTTTCTTGAAACAGAGATATTATTTGAAAAGCACTTGCCTATGTGGACATAGTCCAGTCCACTTTACCTCTGTTTGCTCAGGAGGAAAGAAAATGAAATTCTTGAGGGAGCCATGCCCAAGACAGCATGCCTGGGACAGCCACGAGAGCCCTGCAGTCAGGAAGAGGTGGAAGGCGTGGAGGCAGTTGTAATTGAGGTAGTGGGTTGAGTTCAAAGCTGAATGGAGAGAGGCGAGGGCAGTGGATCTGACCTGGGTGCTATGTGTTTCCTAGGACTGCTGTACAAAGTACCAAACGCTAGGTGACTTTAGACAACAGGACTTTATTGTCTCACAGTTCTGGAGACTGGGAGATGAATTCAGGGTGTGGCAGGGCCATCTTCTCTCTGAAGACTTTCTATGGGAAGATCCTTTCTTGTCCTTCTGAGCTTATGGTGGTCCCAGGCATTCCTTGGCTTGCAGCTGCATCATAGCTCTGTGGTCACATGGCTGTCTTCCCTCTGTCTGTCTCTCTATGCCTTTTCTCCTCTTTTATAAGACACCACTCAAATGGGATCAAGACCCATCCTATGAACTCATGTTACCTGATAACATCTTCAAAGACACTATTTCCAAACAAGGTCATGTTCACAGGAATTGGGGGTGAGTGGGTAATACTCATTGCCGTTGAGTCAATTCCAACTCATGGAAACCCCATGTGTTACAGAGTAGAGCTACTCCGTAGATTTTCTTGGCTGTAATCTTAATGGAAGCAGATCTGTGACGCTGCTAGGTGAGTTTGAACCTCTAACTTTTAGGTTAGTAGTCAAACACAAACCGTTTACACCACCCAGGGAATTCCATCCATAACAGGTGCCTCCATGCCCATCCAAGCTGAGAGGACCTTCTCCGAATGCCCCTGGATCAGACCCTCATCCAACTCCTCGTGTCCGGTAGGGGCATTATGTGGGCCAGCTCTGAGCCCAGGCACCTTCACTGGGCTGAGCGAGGTCCCTACATGGGTCAGATCCCTCCCTCTCTGGCCTCTGGTCTCCTCAACCCTGAGCCCTGTGATTGGCAAAGAGCGGGATTATTGAATGAATTGAACGAGTGAATTAACACATGCCTCATCTCTCTGACACGGTCTCACATCCAAAGTGGAAATTAGAAGTGACCCTGAGGGAGGATCAATGCTGCTCATTCTTCATCAGACAGCACACAGACTAGGGCTCTAAAAGGGACCCGCCATGTTGGGTCATGCTCTTGCTGGTCGCCATCTGTTGAGGAGGTGTAAGACTCCAACAAATAGTCCTTCCAGGGGGCATGGACCACTGCAGTAACCCCACTGAGGAGGGGCCTGGCAGCTCCCTGTTGGGAGCAAGGAGCTGGTACCCCACCATCCGGTGGTCTAGCCCTCTGCTCTGACCTTTCTGACAGCCCCATGAGAGGTCAGGCCAGGCCAGTGGTCCCCGGTACAGATGAGGAAAACGAGGCTCCGAATACAGATTAGGGACTTTCACACCTCCATGTCCAGCTGCCTCCTTGGCTGTTTCTTCCCAAATGTGGGATTCTGTCTCTCCTCGCTGGATAATTGTCCTGTGTTCACAGGGACGTCTGAGCCTACTCCCTGGCCTTGCAGCCCCAGGGGCACAGACTTCGTGCCTGTCCCCTTCTGTCTTCATTATCTAGTGCTGCTATACAGAAATACCACAAGTGGATGGCTTTAACAAACAGAAGTTTATTTCTTCACAGTAAAGTAGGCTAAAAGTCCAAATTCAGGATGTCAGCTCCAGGGGAAGGCTTTCTCTCTCTGTTGGCCTTCTTATCAGTCTTCCCCTGGACTAGGAGCTTCTCCGCGCAGGGACCCCGGGTACAAAGGACACGCTCTGCTCCCGGCACTGCTTTCTTGGTAGTATGAGGTCCTCGTGTCTCTCTGCTGGCTTCTCTCCTTTATATCTCAAGAGATTGCCTCAAGACACAATCCAATCTTGTAGACTGAGTCCTGCCTCACTAACACAACTGCCGCCCATCCTCCCTTATTAACATCATAGAGACCGGATTTACAGCATGTAGGAAAATCACACAATTCCAGGAATCATGGCCCAGCCAAATTGATACACACATTTTTTGGGGGACATAATTCAATCCATGACCCCCTCCTCCCTCACTACACCTACCTCTCTCCCTCTGCTCCAGCCACAGAGTAGGCTATGCTCTCCCCTTGCATCTGCTGTTCCTCTGCCTGGACAGCTCCTCCCTGTCCTCAAGTGTCCAACGTTTTTCTGCTCCAGGCCACTCCGGGAGGCCATGTCTGAACAGACCCCCTCACCCCCAACCCTGTGCTCTGTGCTTGCCAGCACACACCAGTTCTGACC